GCTCGCTCCCATGACCCCCAAGATTACAACCTGAGCTGAATTCAGGAGTCAGATGCTTAACCGACTGAACCACCTGAGCACCCCTTCTTCCACAGTTTTTATTTATTTTTTATTTTTTTTCCTTTTGCACCATTAGTATTACCCGCAAGGGGGTGCACTGTTCCTGGAAGTACTGCAATACCAGGTCGATGCCTGGAGTGGACGGAGCAAGCTCCTATTCCATCTCCCTGCTCCACAAATCCATTTATATTCCACAGTTTTTAAAAGCAAGGAAAACTGGGGTGCCTGGGTGGTGCAGTCGGTTAAGCCACCGACTCTTGACTTTGGCTCAGGTTGCAATCTCTGGGTTGTGGGATCCAGCCCTGCTTCAGGCTCCTTACTCCCTTTGGAGTCTGCTTGGGATTCTCTCTCTCCCTCTCCCTCTGCCCCTCCCCCTGCTTGCCTGCACTTGATTGAGAGAGAAAGAGAGAGAAATCACGGGTGGGGGGTAGGAGCAGAAGGAGAAGGAGAAGCAGACTCCCCGCTGAGCAGAGAGCCCGACGTGGGGCTCGATCCCAGGATCTTGAGATCATGACCTGAGCAGGAGGCAGACGTTTAACCGACTGAGCCACCCAGGCGCCCCAATAAATAAAATATTTAAAAAAAATAAATAAAATAAAGGCACAGAAAACCTTCCAGAAAAACTCCCTATTGGATGTGCATGCTTGTCTCATTGGCTAGAATTTAGTCACATGCCTAAGCCTAAAGCAATCGGTGGTACAAGGAAGATGTAAGTTGCTCAGCCCATGGCATGAATTTCTTTCCCCTTTGCCTGACACCTGCTTCTTGGGATTCCCTTGCAGTTTGATAGCCATCCAACTGAAGGGCTTCTTGAATTAATTAGTTTATGTAAGGAATTTAAAACAGTTTTTGGCACAGGTTAAGCCCCACATATGTGTTTGTTGCTGTTACTCTTATTATTTTAGATTTTTTTTTTCTTCCCTGACGCAAAAAAACTCTTCCATGTGTTCCCTTCCTTCCTGCTTAGTTCACTAGTATGAGGATGTGAGCTCTGGAGCTGTGGTGACCATTCTGTGACCAAGAGGCAACGAACCTAGAGTATGAAGCTATTCTTCTAAGGAAGGTAGAACTAAAGAGTAGGAAATTGGGTCCTTGGTGATATCAATGAGCCATTGCACCAAACTACCAAACCTCCTAACTCCAGACTTCTTATTAAATGAGATAACCAAATGTCTTAAGTCATGTTAATTGGGTTTTCTGTCTTTTGCAGCCAGATGTATCCTCACAAATCCATCTCTGTATGCCCAGCATAGAACCTAGAGAAGGTAGTCAATTAATATTTGATAATGTGGGGTGCCTGGCTGGTTCATTTGGTAGAGCATGCATGCAACTCTTGATCTCGGGGTCGTGAGTTCAAGTCCCATGTTGGGCATAGAGCTTACATTATCAAACACATATTTGTTAGTAAACATTTGAATCATATAGGAGATATCTGAATTCTGGCATATGACCCTCTTCAATAGGCCTGCTGGAATTAGAGTTGCAAATCCCTTCTTGGAGATGCCAAGGCCTAACAAAAATTCTTGAACTGGATATATTTTGGTTTGGCCTGTTCAGCATCCATTTCTCCTGATAAAGCTCCTCAATTTTCCTTTGGGGAATAACTCTGTTTTCCTACTTCTTCATTTGGTTGAACGTATGACTCAGGTTGGCTCAGTCAGATCACTCCATCTCCAGAGCACAGAGGCAAAGCCCTTTGTCCCCGTTCATGACAACCTCTGCATCTGCTGTTCCCTGTGCCTAGGACATGTCCTACTACTCTCCTGCCACCGTGAAGTCTTCACCTGGCCAGTTCCCATTCATCCCTTATGTCTCAGCTAATACCACCTTCTCCTTCAAAAATCCTTCTGCATGGTGCACTGGGGTTCCTATTGCTTTTATATGCCTAGAAGCTTTCCCATCCTACTTTTCTGGTGACTGTTTAGGGTCAATCATATGAAATTGCCCATGTTCTGCCATTTCTAACCTACAAAACTGGCTATTTCATATGGTTCAACCTAATATTATTTTAGTAACCTCCCCTCCCCCAGGCCACACAACCCAGACCCCCACCTGGCCAATCAACGCATTACATTGCCTTGGCTACTACAGTCGGAGCAGAAGTGTCATGTGACTCCAGTCAGGCCAATCAGAGCCCTTCCCTGATTTTTTTTCTCATTGAGGACTGGAGGAGATTTTGCCATTTTACCTTTGGGGTTATGGAGCTAGAAGCATCAAATATGTGTCTGTAAATACATGGCCATTTTCCCCACCACATGTTGAAGAGGATGAATCTGAGCTGGGAGAAACAGAGAAATGAGTGACTAAAGTGTCTGGGTGGTTCCGGTCTCTAAGGCCAAATTCCTTGTAGCTTTACCCTTAATTGTCTGCATCCCAGATGTATGAGCCAACAGTGACCACTTTTGATGCTTAATCCAGGGAAGCTGAGTTCCGGTCACTTGCTACCTAAAGACTCTGAACTAAGAAGTGTCCCTTATTAGTTCAGAGGGAATCTCGGGGCAGGGGGAGGCAGCTCTGCTGGGCTCCCGGTCTCCTGAACAGCAATAGGGCTGCGATTGCCCTCAGCTCCAGGAGGGCAGAAACTGAGTCTGTTTTGGTCACTCCTGGGTCTTCAGTGTCCAGCACAGGGCCAGGCACAGAAGAGATACTCAAACATTCCGCTTAGATGATCCTAGGCCCTCTCTCACCTAGTGTACCTGTTCCTTGGGTTTAGAGCTCTCAATTTTGAAAAACAAGCATAGCATTGGCATTGATAAATACTTCTCTACCAAATAAAGGGGTTACAAGTGAAGGAAGGTGGGTGGAGCGTTATCCAAAGTGCTGAACTGGGGACCATGTTGGCCCCAAACACGCCAGTGGGTGGATGCCAAATTCTGAGATGGCAGTTCCTGATTTTGTTTTGAAGGCACATACACACCACCCCAAAGCTGGGGTCTTCCACGGAAATCAGACCGTATACCACCTCTACAGACAATCCTCCACTGGCTTCTCATAGCTCAGAGAATACAACCTGACCCTTGACCCCAGCCCACAAGGCTCTGCAGAATCTGTTCCCTGCTTGCCTCTCCCACCCCCTCCCCTCCCACTCTCCCACTTGCTCCGGTCCAGACATACTACCTCCAAAACACCAAGCACACTCTTTCCTCAAGACCTTTGCATGTGCTATTCACTCTGCCTGGAATGCTTTTCCCTGGCTCTTCCTACAAGGGATTTCTTCAGCTCCAGCATCACATCCCTTGAGCCCCCAACCTAAAGTAGGCCTCCCAGTCAGTCCCTGTTCCATCCCCTTCTCATTCTTTCCATGGCACTCATTTACCCCCAGATACATTATCACGTGCTTGTTTACTCTCACCCCCCCTCCCCCATCTAGAATATGAGCTTCATGGGGCAGGGGTTTCTTGTTTTGTTTTAGTTAAACTATTTTGTTCACTGTTGTATCCTCTGAACAGGGCCAGGTACACAGTACATGCTCAATAAAGCTTTATTGGGTGAATCAGAGACAATATAGTCAGATGGTTGGGTGTGCAGGACTCGGAGGCAGTAAACTTTCCAATCATGGCTCTGCCATTTCCTGGCTGTGTGATCTTGGGCAAACTCCTTAACCTCCCTAAACTTCAGATTCCTCCTCTAGAAAAGTGGGTGCACACACTACACAGATCTGTTGCAGAGGATAAATGCAATCACACTTACTATCTGAGTAACTCCATTTTGCTGGGCTCTGGGTTGCATACTCTCTCCTTGCATCAGGGAGGGTTCGTGAGCACAGTGCCTGGCGTGTGGGAAGCCCTCAGTATCCAGGAGTCGTGATGATGGAGATGGATGTGTGGCTGAGCCACTGGGTGAGGGAGCCTCATGGCCTGTGAGTCTCTGGTGCTTCTGTCCTTGCTGCCTCCCACCCTGTCTGCCCAGATCCATCCCCCTCCCTCCTGCTCTGTTTCTATTTCTGTCTTTCTTTCCTCCTCCCCAGGCCTCAGGGGGCCCCTGGCTGGCAAGAAGCTTCCTCCTCCTTCTCCAGGATCAGGAAGCAGGCCTGTTTTCACTGCAGGCCTCCCCCTCTCCAAGGGCTGGGGCATCCCACCTGACCAACTTTCCTTCCCCAGCCACAGCCCTCAGCCTCACCTGAGAAAATCCTCTCCCCCACACCATCCTCTGTGCTCCCAGCAGACTTCTTCTGCACCTAGGATCTCTCAGACTCCAGACAGCGACCAATGAGCACTTTCCCTCATCCCCTCCCCAAGGCTGACTTTGGATACCCATGCTCAGCTAACTAAGGTTTCTGGGGCCGTTCCCTAGCCTCTAGACAGACACCAGAGGCAATATAGTGTAGCAGTGAAAAATAGAGGTCAACCTGCCAGCTCCCCTATTTCTTCACTTGGGGACCTTGGGCAAGTGACTTTCACTTCTCCCTGGTTCAGATTCCTGACTGTAAAATGGGACCAAACATACCTACTTCAGTTAGCTGTCCAACCTAAGAGAGAGGAGCTGTGCTTAGCACAATGCCCGCACGTGGAATGGACATCCAACAGCTGTTCAGCAGAATTCTGTGGTTAAGAATCCAGACTCAGAAGTCAGGCTGCCTGCCTTTTTAAATCCCGATTTTGCTTTCTGTGCTGGTTCTGTGACCTTGGGCAAGTTACTTAACTTTCCTGCGCCTCAATTTCCTCATCTGCGAAACGGGATAACATCACTGACATCTAGGGTTGTTTAGAGGATTAAATGAGTGCTTGGCACATAGTAAGGACTCACTAAATGTTAGCTAGTATTATTTTTATTATGCCCCACCTCTAAGTCTCTCAGGGGACGGGAAACTATCTCGAGTCTCCCTGGTCCCAACTAGCCACCTTTCCTTCAGTCTCACTTGCGTCCTTATGCTGTAATCCAGGTCACACACACACACACCCCAAGACACACAGACACACACAGAGGTCAGCAGATCGGCCTCAGACACAGAAAAAAGTTTAATTCTGCTGCGGCGGAGGGTCCCGGCTCCGGCAGGGAGGGGGATTTGGTTTTGGATTTTGTTCATGTGGGGATTTATTTGGGAAAAGAGGAAGGAATAGGGGAGAGTCTGGTCCTTCCAGTGGGACCTGCCCGGGAGAATGTGTAGTGGGAAGAGGTAATCGGGAGAAATAGGAAGACTGGACAAGATATGGGAGGGCAGAGGGAGAAGAGACGACAGGACGGAGAAAGGAGACACAAATAGGGAAGGACAGACACGTAAGACAAAGACGACAGAGGGCGGGACAGAGACAAAGGGAACAGAGAAAAGGGGGACCCCAAGCCAGACCCGACGGGACCAGGGAGGTGAATGGGGTGGGGTGGGGGCTTTGGAGGCCGCCGCGGGACAGAATAGGATCTAGTCCAGCCAGATACAAGAAATGGGCCCCTCGCCCCTGCCCCGGGTCCCGGGCGGGGGGAAGGGGCTCGTGTCTCAGTGCTGCAGTGTCGGGGGGGCCCTGCCCCTCCCCGCGCTTCGCTGTGTAAGGCACCGGCTCCAGCGAGGTCCGCGAGCGCGCGCGGGGAGGGGCAGGAGGGGGGCGAGGAGTCCGCGGAGGAAGGGGGCCCGGCTGCCCGCCCCCTAACTCCCCGGGGCCCGGGGGCGTGGCCAGGAGCCTCAGACGAGGCAGTCCCGCCCCTTCCGGGGAGGAGAAGGGCGAGTCTCCGCCTCCAGTCCGACGACTAGGCGCCGCGCTTTCTCCCGCGAGTCCTGCCCCGGCGTCCGGGCGGCTGGGCGTTTGTCCGCGGCACCCAGGCGTCCCGGCGCCCGCCTGCCGCTCACACGGTACTCTCCAGCATCCACTCGGTGCTGGTAAAGGCCAGGCGTGCCCTGGCGGAGCCCAGCCCCAGGTCTCCGTCCTCCCCGGCCGCGCCCCCTCCGGCCCCGTCCAGGTGCGGCGTGGACCGGTGGCGCTTTGTCCGCCGGGCGCGGCGCGGGTAACTGTGGCTCTGGAAGAGCGCCCCGTAGTCCCCGTCGAACGAATAGCGCTGCTGCGGCCTCGGCCGGGCCGGGGCGCCCCCAGGAACCAGAGCTAGAGTGGGAGGCGCCGAAGCTGGCGGCCCCAGGGCCCCGGAACGGCTCCTCCGAGGGCCCGCCGCGGCCCGAGACTCCTCCCCAGAGGTTTCCTCAGACGGCAGCAGGCACAGCGAGGTGGCCGAGCCGCCCAGGGAGCGTCCAAGGACGGTCTCCGGCTCCGCGGAAGCCGTCTCGGCCGCGGGGCCCTTGGCCTCGACCGCCACGGCGGCAGCAGCGGGGGACGCCACCTCGCGCAGCGCCTCGTAACGGTCTTGCGCCGGCGGGGGCGGGGCCTGCGGGGCGCCTGCGCCGTTGGTCTGCGAGCACACGTGGCTGACCCGCGGCGGCGACCTGGAGGTACCCTTGACGCGGCGACCGTCGCCGTCGCCGTAGACCTTATAGCGGATCATGAGCAGAACGATGAAAACGAGGACCGAAGCGACGATGACGCCCCCGATGGCGATGATCATGGTGCCACCCAAGAAATGGGCCCTCAGTGGGCGGCAGGGCGCGGGATCCCCCGCGGTGGTGAACTGCACGCAGCCCACCACTCGCGTGGCCGGCAGTGCCGTGGCCCCGTCGTCGTAGACAGCCAGCACGCACAGGTCGTAGGCGCGGCCTGCTGCCAGATCGTTCACCAGGAAGGTCTGGCTGGTGGATGGGATCATCCTGCAGGAGGGGAGGGCATCAGCGCTGGGTTAGCTCCCCTATGAACTACATCGCTTCGTTTGCATGTCCCACCCGTGGTGACCAATGGGGACCAAACCATGTGTCCCTACCGGTATTTCATCCTCTGTGGGACAGTAGCAGCCATTCAAGCGACAAATTCCCATCCTGTCAGGACCCCTGCTACAGGCCATGCCCCTCTTCTGCATGCCCTGCCCTCGGACCCACTCCTTGTGGTGTCTTGTCACCTATTAGGTAATATCTGCCATTCCTGTTCCCTCATCTACATGTCCTGGCCCCTGCAAGGGAGGAGTGCTATAGCTTTTAAGTCCTGCCCTCAAGGAACATGCCTCCTGGCAGTGTTTCACTTTTATTGGACGACTGCCATTCAAGGTCTACATATTTCCACCCTTTAAGGGCCCCGACACAACAGGCCACCTCTCGTTTCCTGTAGGTCCCATCCTCACTCAAGTGGACACTGAGGTCAACTCACACACCCTATATTACTGCTACCGGGACAATGGATGCTCTTCTAGTTCCTCTTTTCTATATATTCCCATCCTTTCTGGGGAAACTATGATACAGGCCACGCCCCTCATCTGCATGTCCCACCTTTGGGTAAATACATCAAGCTGCGCCTATCTTCTGGGACAATTACCAAACCCCTCAACTACATATTCCCACCCACTAAGGGGCCATGGCTATAGGCCACTCCCCTTTTGATTGACCAGTGGCTTCCAAGCCACACTCCCAAGACCTACTAGGGATGGCTTCCCTACTGTGCCTAGAACCATGTCCACTCTTTGCATGTCCTGCAACCAATCACTCTGTGTGCATGCTCTGCCCCATACCACCAGAGGCATGAAATCATGCCCCCCCCCCCCCCCCGGTTAATGTCATCTGTAATTGGGTAAAATGTAGCCAAGCAAGCATGCCCTTTCTTGCTATAGGACCCTGTCCTCCAGTGAGGGACAGTGTAAAGAAGTGCTTATGCTGACAAAGTCTCAGAGCCTGTGTTTGAGTCTCTCTGCCACTTGCTAGCTCTGTGACCTTAGGCAAGTTTCTTAACCTCTCTGTGCCTCATTTCCCCAAAATGGAGATATTAAGAACTCCTTCATCATAGAGAGTGTGATGTGTGAATGAGTTAACACACCTAAAGCCTGGCACTAAATAATTTCGTCATGATTAGCGTGCATCCCACCCAATGTGGACCAGTAGCCCTTGCTGTGGCTTTCACCACCAGTTGCACTCTTCCCCGTCTGTAAGACCATTCCCACTAGGCCTTGACCCTCTTCTGTTGGGCATATCCCTTCTGTGCTGTTGGCCATGTCTGTGCTGTTGGCTAAGCCAGGACTGCCCCATCCACAGGAATTCGCATTCCCAGCACTCAACCTCACAAGCCCTCCTCACCTACAAAACTCTCAGTGGGTCGCCAGAGACAAGGACTGCCACCTCATCTGCCTGGGACCATGCAGCAGGAGCTCCATCTCCTGAGAGAGGCCACGCCCCCATCTCCACAGGCCTCCTCTCTCAGAAACTTCACATTCCCTCCAACCAGGCCACCTTTCATCCTGAAGCCCACCTCAGCTCCCTTACCACCAAGAGCCACCCTTCAACCAGAAGATTTCGGGTAAGGGCCCTACCCCCTCATAAAGGCCTACCCACATTTCCAACTGACCCCCTGCCTGCCATTTCACACACTGCCCCCCACCCCATCCAACCTCGGGCCCCTTAGCTGTTAAGTCTTCCTCTTCCTCTCCCCTCCCCTTCCCAAGAGGCTTGGATTCCTCTTCCTCCTTCCCCCAAAGTAACCAGTTGCTAGGGGCTCCCCACTTTTCAAGGATAGAGGCTGGCTCCTTAAGAAAGCTTCAGCCCATGTGTCTCTAATTGGCTGCAAGACCTAAGCAAGCAGCAGAGGAGGCTTCTGGTTGGATGTCACCTCCGCCCATGGCAGCAGCGAGGAGGTTAACCCCTACAGCACCGTAGCACAGGCATCTGCAATGGGGGACAGAGGACTGGAACTGTGGCCTTCAGGGGAAAGGAAGAGACCAGGGATTTGTCACCCTGCTGGGACAGAGGGCCACCAACATCCACATACATACAGGGTCTGAGGAGCACCCCCACCCCACCACATAGTGGCCAAGGGTTAGACCAAGAATGAAAGAGAGAAACAGAGAGGTGGAGAGTCACAGAAACCAAGAGTCATTTACAGAAATGTATTATCCTTCTCCCCTAATCCCTGCCTGGCAAACAGTAGGTGCTCAATGTGTGTGTTCAATGTCAAAAGGGCAAGATTAGGAGTTAGAAGGGTAAAGCCTGGAATCCTGGCTCTGCCACTTTTCTCTGTGACCTTGAGCAAGTGATTTCCTCCCACTGAGTCTCAGCTTCCCTGTCTATAAAATGGGAGGGGGGGGATCACTGCTGCTTCACGGCAGAGTTGGGAAGATCGAATGAGGTCGCACAGGGCCTAGCACAGAGCAGGGGCTCAGTGCCTAATAAGGGCAGGAGGGAGAGAGGGTACAGACAGAGGCAAAAGCAAGAGAATAACAGAGATTATGGGAGAAAGTAACCTTTTTTTAATGTCTGTCTTATACGGTACAGATCTGTCCACACCAGGGCAAGGGCTTCTAACCCAGTGGATGGTGGAAATAACTTATGGGTGCCTATAAAGTGGGAGGGGGTATCATCACTGCTTCGCAACAAAGTGGGGAAGATCAAATGATCATTTATATCTTTTTCTCATACTTTTCCTTTTCTGTTCTGTGATGTACCCAATGGGTTGATACAGTAACACTGGTATATAATCTGTAAATATAAATGTAACTATACATATGTAAGTGTGTGAATATATTTCATGTTCCTAAATGTTTAACTGACAAGGTGCACAACCAGACACCTTTGGCCAGCAGTGAGGTAGACCGTGAACCCCAGAGAGCAGGGATCATGCTGGGCACAGTTCACGTCTGGCTCGTATGGGATCTCAACGAAGATTACCTAACTGCAGGAAAACCAGAAAGAGAGAGTGAGACAGAAGGAGAGAGAGAAGGAGACAGGGCAAATGAGAGCCCAAGACAACTCCACTGGGCCATCTAGAGAACCCCAGTGGAGCAAAAAGGCCAAGGGAGTGGGGCAGATGATGGGGAGGGCCCCCGGAATCGGGGGCAGGGGCGGGGGGTGGTTCCTGGGACTGCAGCACCCACCTGTAGACAAGGGAGTCATCCGCGGAGCTGTTGTACTGGACCTGGTACATGCGGATGCCGGGCACAGGTCTCTGGGCGGGCCAGCGGATGAGCACCGAGTTTGAGGTGAGCTCGGCCGCCACGAGCCGGCGTTCGGTGGCCGATTCGTTGGCACCAGGGCGGCCGGGCGTGGCGATGTCAGAGGAGCCGGGCTCCGTGAGAGGCGGCGGGGCGGCTGGCGGGGGCGCCATCAGAGGCAGGGGCACCACGCACACCTCCACGGGCGCCGTGGCTTCCCCCGCGGCGTTGGAGGCGATGCAGGTGAAGGTGCCGCTGTCCCGTAAGGTGGTGATGGTCACATCCAGCGTCCCATCCCCCCGCACCCGGGTCCGGCTCGAGTTCCCCAGCAACCGCCCGTCGGGCGCCACCCAGTGCACCACGGGCTCGGGGTCCCCCACGGCGCGGCACCGCAGGCTGACCGCCTGGCCCTCCACCACCAGGGCCCGGCCCCCCGCCTGGCGCGTGATCAGCGGGGGCTCACACAGGAACTCCTCCTCGGGGATGGACCAGAAGTAGCGGTCGGTGAGGTGCTCGGGGGTGGCGCACGTCTCCAGGTCGTCCTCCCGCGTCAGCCGCCTCAGCCAGAGCAGCTCGCAGTTGCAGTGCAGGGGGTTGCCGCCGAAGCTGACCGTGAGCGGCGTGGGCGGCTTCGGCCCCGAGCCCTGGGACCTCAGGAAGAGCCCATCAGGGGGCAGTTTGTGCAGGCGGTTGGAGGTCATGTCCAGGCGAACCAGTTTGTGCAGCTGCACGAAGGTCCCTTCGGCGATGTGGTCGATGAGGTTGTGGTCCAGCGTGAGGGTGTTCAGGTTCACCATCTGGCCCACAGCCTCCCACGGCAGGGCCTCGAGGTTGTTGTAGGACAGATCCAGGTCCTCCACGGTGGCCAGGAAGGCATCGAAGGCGGCGGACTCCACCCGGCGGATCTGGTTGTTGCCGAGGATCAGGTGGCGGAGGTTGCCCAAGCCGCGGAGCTGGTCGCCACGCACCTCGGCCAGGCGGTTGCTGTCGAGGTGCAGGGCGCGGAGGGCGCGGAGGTCGGCGAAGGCGCCGGCGGCCACCTGGCCGATGGTGTTACGGGACAGGGTGAGGTGAACCAGGCTGGTCATGTTGGCGAAGTCTCTGCGGCGGACGGCCGCGATGAAGTTGTCAGTGAGCCGCAGCTCCACCACGCGCCGGTCGATGGCCGGCGGCACGAAGAGCAGGCCGGTCTTGGCGCACAGCATGGTCAGCGTGGGCGCCACGTTCTGGCAGATGCAGCGGCCGGGGCAGGGCTGACCACGAGACGCCCCGGCCCAGAGCAGCAGCAAAAAGGGCAGGGCAGCAGGCGGCGGCGAGAGGAGCGCCGAGGAGAAGGGGCCCGGAGCCATGGTGCAGGGGGAAGGCGGGAGGAGTGGGGCGTGAGACCTGCAAGGGAAGGAGACGGGTCACGCAGGCGCAGGCCTTGACCACCAGCCTGGCCGCCCACCGCGTCCTGCTGGGAGTCTGACCTGGGGCAGATCAGTGGCAGGACTGATCATCAGCAGGCGTGCATTTCATTGTTAACAGACCATCTTTCCATGCTGGCTGGTAAACTACACTGAGTGTCCCGATCCCAACTGGGACTGTCCCGATCCCAACTGGGACGGACCCTCCTCTAGGAGGCCCAGGCCTCTCATGACTTCCCAGCCAGAGGGGTGACACCTGGCCAGCCTGGGCCTTCCAGTACCCACTAAATATTTTGAAAAATCACAGCTGACTAGGGTTTAAGGTCATGGATTTCAAAGCCATAGTCCCTGGGTTCAAATTCCAGCTCTGACACTTACTAGCTGTGTGACCTCGGGCAAGTGTCTGAACCTCTCTGAATCTCGGTTTCTTCATCTGTAAAATGGAGATAAAAACAGGCCTTACCTCTGTGAGGATTAAATGGATTAATGAGCTTAATGTACTTAGAACCGTGCCTGGCACATAAAATGTGTTCAATACATGTTGGTGATTATTATCATCATGATCATCGAGTGCCCAATATGTACCCATCGAGTGCCCAATAATAGTGTGCACTATTATTAAGAGTAAGTGCTCTGAAATCAAACAGACTCAGGTTCAAGTCCTGGCTCCCCCACTTGCTACCTCTGTGACCCCAAACTAATGATTTCCCCTAACCTAGGCCATAATTCCCTGATTTGTAAAATGGGATGATAATTGTACCATCTTCAGTGGGTTGTTGCAAGGGTTCCGTAAGCTCATTCAGGGGGGCCACTGAGCACAGGGCCTGCCACACAGCAAATATTCAATAAATGTTAAGGGTAACACCCCCCCTACACACACACACCCTTGGGAGTGGCAGAGGGAATCTGAAGGTAGGAGGAGCTGAGAAAAACACATGTCTTCCTGCTCAGCCTTGAGAAGTCCTTCTCTGAACCTGGTTTCATCCTGGGCCCTGGTGAGCTCCCAAGCAGCGGGCAAGCTTTCATGCTCACATCAGTGGGCACATACAAGGCCCCACACGTACCCACACTCACACGCACTCTTCACACACTCACGCTATGCCTCTGCTCCAGGCAAAACCTTCCGGCGGGGATTCCCCTGCGGCGCCTGCAGCCCACGACATGTCAGCTCCCATCACAACACGGGGTGGGTGGGGGGTGAAAAGGAAAGGATGGGAAGGGGGCGTCCCTGAAACTGTTTTCACCCCACCCCACACCCAGTCCCTGCTGGCCCACCTCCTAGGAATCTGCAGTTTGAGGCTGCAGCCTGCTGTGGCCCTAAATCCTTCAGCCTGTGGGGAGGGGGACCAAGGGAGTCAGAGAGAAAGAGGTGAAGAGATAGGGAGACAAGTGGGGGGGAGCAGGGGGCACAGACTGGCAGAAACAGAGTCAGAGAGAGAGAAAGAGACAAAGTGGCAAAAAGAGAAAGAATCTGAGGGGCGCCTGACGGGCAGAGCATGTGACTCTTGATCTCAGCGTGGTGGGTTCGAGCCCCACATTGTGCCAAGAGCTTACATAGATAAATAAATAAGTAAATAAGTGAGTAAATAAATAAAAGGAAACGAGAAAGAATCTGAAAGGAAGGTGCAGAGGCAAGGAGCCAGCCTGAAGCCAAGAGAGACTAAAGAACAAACAGAGGAGACACAGAGAAGGGCATTGAGATCAAGAGATGAAGAGGGGAAGAGTGAGCCAAAAGAGGCAGGAGGAGATCTGAAGACACTATAGAGAGAGACCCAGACGGAGGCAGAAAGAGATAGAGATGGAGAGCCAGTGCCTGGGCTGGAGAGAGGAAAAGAGGCAGAGTGAGGGCGTCCCACCGTGTCTCTGAGCGCCCCCCATTAATTGGTCTTATGCTCCGCCTGGGAAACTGCTCTGTGTCTGATGGAAAACCCTGGCCCAAGAGGCGGAGCTCCTAAGTTTGGAGGCCCAGCTCAGCACCTGCTTGGCTGTGGGGTCTCTAAGGCTCAGAACCCCAGTCTCTGAAGCACAAGTACACGGTTTTGCCTCCCACAGTTGGGGGGAGGGGGGACTCAAGTTGAAGGAATAATAACAGCAATGCAAATAGCTGACATTTATTGAGAGGCAGTGCAGCATTGCAAGGAAGAACCCAGACCTGATTGCTGGGGCTCGTACCCCAGTTCCCGGCTGCGCGACTTTAATCAGGTGACTTCCTCTCTTTGTGCCTCAGTGTGCTCAGCTGTAAAACGGGGATAATGATAGCACCTACCTCATGGGGTTGTTTTAAGTATGCAGAGATAATACAGTGTAATGGGTTTAGAATAGTTCCTGACAGAGTAAACCCTGTATAATAAATATTAGCAGCCATCATCATCATCATCATTATTATGATTATTATTAACATATCATTTTCTCTGGCTCTCTCTCAGCCACCAGCAGGTCAGGTGACCAGGAGAGCTTCCCACATGCATACATGCATGCACGCGCACGCGCGCACACACACACACACACACACATACAATGGTAAACCATGTCCATGTCGCTCTCCAAATGCAGGGGTCACTTCATGTTGTGAAACTCTCTGTGCGCTTTTCCCATATCATCAGGAGACTTCCCTGTCCCAACCACCTCACCCATCCAGAGAGGGGATGCCTCCAGGCCTGAAACCCCCCACCTACCACCCAAGCCCTGGCTCTACCACAGGCCCTGACCCAAACCCAATGCTCCTGACCTTGTTGTCCCCCCACCCAGCCCCGCCCCTTGGACACAGCCATACTCTGCCCTGAAATCCATACCAGGCAGGGCGTCAGGCCTCCGGCTGGCTCAGAACAGGCCCAATCACTCCACATCTCTCTCCCCAGCCTGAAGGACCCCACTCACCTCTCTGCAGGGAGTCAGGGCCTGGGCGGGTACCTGCAAAGGAACAAAATGACCCTATTAGCATCCTTCGGGCTCCTCTCTGAAGACCTGCCTCAGAGACCATCTGGGCCAAGGAAGTCCCTGATGTGATCACTCTCTCCGTCCTCCTGCTGCAGGTTCTGTATAGTCTCAGACAGACCCAGCGAGTCGTTTCTGGAATCCAGGGAGTCTGGGCCTCAGGACTGTTACCCCTCCAAACCCAGGAGTCCAGGAGTTTAACCCTTTGTCCTCTGTGGGCTCGCCAGACCAGAGACCCCAGGCCCCTCCTCCCTCAAGACCCTGGTGTCTGCAATCCCAGACTCTTCCTTCTTCAAACTCCAGAGTCCAGGTCTTGGTTTCTTCCTTTCTCAAGACCCAGGAATCTGGCCTCCCAGCCGCCTTCTCTTTCAGATCCAGGATTCCAGGCTCCCAGCCTCTTCCAGAGTTCATATCCCAGTCCCCCAACTTTGAAGAGCTGAGTGGTACCGAGGGTAGGAAAGAACCAGAGGTCCCCATCCTCGCCATTACACCGCTGTCACACCAACACGTGTGGACACGCCAAAACCCACATGGACCCACAATCCAAGTCTCTACATCTGGATTTCCAGGGACACACCAGTAATGATGTGTGCCCCCACCCTCCATGGGCTCTTGGCCTGGCATGAGGACACACTTGTGTCCTTGGACCCCCTGGATGGACCCCAGCATACCACAGGTCACACCACACAGGCCCCAATCTCACTGGGCCACGAGTGAGGTCAGCCTCGTGCCAGGGAGACAGATACGTGCGTGCATATTGCCCTGCACGTACGTTTGAACAGATACAATCCCAATCCCCAGACACCAACATTGACACATAAATGGACTCACAACACAGACACACACCCTCAAGGTGGACACACCTGCACACAACCACACATGTACAACACTGACTTTCTTTGCACGTTCATACATACTCATGGACACACACAACAGAGAAACCCATGTGCCCCCTTGCAGACAACCAGATACATGCTCCTATAACAGATACACACTTGCACGCTAGCCAACACACAGGGGCACACACATATAACATATCCTCAGTTGCACAAACAGGTGATACACAGGTGCATGCTCTTAAATGCCCAAACACACTCCTACACACTCATACAACTTCACATATCCCCCAAGATGCACGGTCACAAAACGGATACATCCCCACACCACCAGATGCACAAATGCACACACTAGCAGATAGACACACCTCACACACACACACACAGAACTACAAGCATACACAGATACACAAAACTGAGACACACTCAAACAAGCACAGAGGCACACAAAGATCCACCTTGCACAGACATTCTGAGATGTTCACTCATTACAGACACAGGCTCACACAAGAGTCCTGGGAGGGATTTTACACACTTCCAAAATGCACACAAAATATTGAACCACAGTAGCATAGTCAACAGGCCTAGATTCACACACACAGGCATGAACACACATCCCTCCTAGCCCTGAGGTACCCCCACCCCACCTACTTCCCAGGCCAAAGAAATCCTAACATCCTTCCCTCCCAGCACATCCCCCCCCACCCACCCCCAACCAAGGCACCAGCCAGGGCCTGAGGTCAGAGTTCAGCAGGTAGAGTCTCAAAGGGTTGGGGGGCTGAGTCCTGGAGCCCGGCTACAAGGCAATCCTCCCACTAGCAGCCCAAAAGTCCCCCGGCCTGGCCATCTGTATGCCGGCAACTCCGGGCCCCATCTGCGGAGATCTGGCGGGGGTGGGGATTGGGGTGGGGTGGGTGGGGAGGGCCGGGTCTGTGCCCCTCCCCTCGGGCCCATCTGTCCATCCCTCGGCCTCTCATCCTTCCATCTGTCCACCTACCGGCCGCCCATCCCCCCCCTCCCAGGCACCGGGAAGGGGAAGACATGGCCGTCTCCCCCAAGGACCGCTGAGGACCCCCCCAGTTGACATGGACCGAGGGAGCGGCAAACTCCCCTCCCCCAAACCCACACAGAGGCCTGGACCCACAAGGAACGAGCCCCAGCCCCCGGCCGGGAACCTGACGTGGACGCACAGACACACACCCTCGGAGACACACAACCCGCAGACACACACACACACACACACCACAAATGGACACCCGAACGGGCACACCCGGCTACACAAACCCTAGGATGGACATCCAACCTGGACACAAACACCCAACGCAGCCAGCCCCGCGCACACTCGCTGGGGGGAGGAAGGGGACCCACACCTGGGCACACAACCCACGCACACACACCTGCACACAGCCCCTCCGATGGGCGCGCGACAGCCCCCCAGACACACAGCCGGAGGGGCAAGCCACTCAGGGGGACACACGCGTGCGGCCGGACACAGCACCTCGGCTCGACACCCAGCACACACCCGGATGGCCACACAAGCAGGGCGCCGCACACGCCGGCGCCGGGCACACACAGGGCCGCGCGAGCGCACGCCGGGCCCGCCGCAGCGCCGCGGACACACACTCACACGCTCGCACGCTCACACCCGCGCTCCCACCGGCGCCCCCGCCCGCCGCCTCCCGGGCCGCTGCGGGCCGTGCTCACCCAGCCCGGGGGGGCCCCGGGCCCGGCCCCGCCGCCGCCGCCTCGCTCCGCGCCATGGTGGGGGGAGGGCCGGGGGAGGGGGCGCGGTGCCGCGGGGCCGCCTCCCTCCCGCCTCCCGCCCTCCCTCCTGAGCCGCCGCCGAGCTCCGCCCTCCGCGCCGCCCGCCGCCAGAGCCCCGCCGCCGCCGCCGCCGCAAGGGGGGAGGGGGCGGGCGGGGCGGCCGCACCGCCCAGACCCCCGCCCCCGGGGCGCGCCGCAGACCCCTCTCCACTGCGGAGCCGCCGGCCCGCCCCCGACCCCTCCCCAGCCCCACCTCCAGCCCCGCTGGCTGCCCCAGAGACCCCCCCCAGACCACGCCCCAACTGGCGTGGGGACTCGGATCTCGCAGCGGAGACCTGGGATCATGTCCCAATACCCAGGGGAACCTCAGACCATGCCTTACCTCCTCTGAGGACCCAAACCATGTTCTACAGCCACCCCGGACCACAAACCATGTCCTCCTCTCCTAGGTGACCTCAGACTCTGTCCCATACTCCAGTGGGGACCCCAGACCATATCCCAGAACCCAAGGGGATCCAGAGCATCCCCCAAAGGGACCCCAAATCATACCATAACATTCAGGTAGACCCCAGAATATGCCCCAGCTTCCAGAGAGGACCCAAACCATACTTCAACATCCAGGGAGATACCAGATCATGTCTTACTTCCTTTGGGGACCCAAACCATGTCCTACTGCTTCTTGGGGACCCCCAGCCATGTCCTTCCACCCTCTAGGACCACAAACCATTCCCTGACCCCCAACAGGGACTCCAGACCATGTCTAATTTCTAGGGGGACCCCCAAATGTCTCTTATTCCCCCTAATTTTCCTCATTACCCCCATTAGACCCCAGATCATCTTCCCCTCTAAGCCCCCCCTTAGTTTCCAGAACCCCTGATTTGCCCCTAGATTCTTTCCCTGCCTCCTTCCTGTTCTTACTCTTTCTTTTGGACCCTGCAGACCCTCCCCCCTCCCTGTGACTTCCATGGAGCCCAGATTCCTTGCTCCTTCCTTGGTTAGACTCCTTTCTTGCCCAACTCCAACCCAATAGCTGATCCCCAGTCCCTCCCCCAAATCCCACTGAGTATCTCAGGCCACTTTCCACTTCTTTCCAGGATACTCACCAGGCCCCCAAACCCAACAAGGCCTCTCCTCCAAATCTGTCTTATTGCAGTCCTCCCGCTCCCTGGCAGCTCAAACCCTTCCCATTTTGGATCCCACTGTATCAAGGTCCTTTACCAAACCCCTTCCCTAAATTCTTCCTAGTCACATCATCGCTCGAAGCATGCCCTATCCCTACTCCTCCAACACACCAGCTCAGTCCAACCCTTGGTCTTGGCACTCTTTCCCCTTCCTTTTCATTCAGGTCTTAATTCAAACGTAACCTCTTCAGAGAGGCCCTCTTTCCCCCTCCCCAGTATGGACCCTCACCCCCACCAATTGTCCTGATGTCTGCCAATTACTGTAAAATCCATAAAAAAATAAGATGGGTTATGGATGGGTTGATGGATGGGGATGTGATAAAGCAAGTCCAATAAAATGTTAATGGGAGAATCTAGGTGGTGGGTCTATGGGTGTTCACTGTAAAATAATTTCAGCTTTGCTGCATGTTTGAAATTTTTCATAATACATATTGGGAGGTGAGCAGGAGGACTCTTCTATTTTTTTTTTTTTAAGATTTTTTTATTTATTTGAGAGAGAGAGAATAAGTGAGAGAGAGCGCACACATGAGAGAGGGGAGGGTCAGAGGAAGAAGCAGACTCCCTGCTCAGCAGGGAGCCCGATGCGGGACTCGATCCCAGGACTCCAGGATCATGACCTGAGCCGAAGGCAGTCGCTTAACCAACTGAGCCACCCAGGTGTCCCAGGAAGACTCTTCTAGAAGAGACTAAAGAGGCAACAAAAGGTCCCACCATTTCTATCACATCATCTCATTTTATTTCCTACCTAGCTCTTATCGTGCTTGTTAATAATCTTGTCTCTTTATTGTTTACTTATTTGTTTGTTTATTGCTTATCGTCTAGTCATTGAAATATAAGCCCCCTGAGGGGAGAGGCATGGGCACCAATTTTCTCCAGTGTCCAGAACGGCGAATGGCACCCAGTGGGTGCTCAGCAAACACATGTTCTTGAATGCCTCTCAGGAGACGGCCTGGGAGCTAGGCCCACTCCAGACTCCCTGTAGGAGCCACACTCAACAATAAACATCATGTCCCAGACTGGGGTCACTAGAAGGGAAGGGGGAAACCCCCAGCGGTAGGAGGATGCCCCATAAGGTCGGGGAATGTGAGTTGGCCTAAAAAGAGGACAACAGGTGGAAGTTTCCTCCGGCCTTAATTCCTGCCCCAGACTTCCTAATAGAGACTGGCAACCATTCTCAAACTTCCACAATTAGGCCCTGCCCCAAGCCTAGTTACACACACACACACACACACACACACACACACACCCCACCCCCACCCCCTCTCCAAGGCTCTGCCCAAAGCAAAAACCCCAGCACTTTCTGACCTCAGGTTGCGCTCAGGCCTAGGTCCTACCTTCTTAGCCCCAGCACTGCCCTCTGCACCTTAAACTCCACCCCAAAAGCATCTAGCTTTCAGTCCAGGCACCGGCCCCTCTTGGCTAGTTTAGATCCTCCATTCTCTGTTTCACCCTAAATCCCGTTTCTTCCTCTCCAACATATGCCCTATTTTCCTTGAAGGTTAGCAGGGAGGAGAGCCCCAGGGAAACCCTAGAGCCTGGATTCAAAAATTAGGGAGCCTGGATCTGTGAAGCCTAGGTGAAGGCTGGCGGGAAGAGAGGAGGTAGTCCCTAGTTTGGGCGGGGGAGGGGGGGTGGCTTGAAGGAGTGGCCCCAAACCTGGAGCCATGCCCCATTGTGCTGACTCTCCACTGGATAGTGTATTCTGCTCTGGCCTCTCTGACTGGTCCCTCTGCAATCCCTCTAGCCAAACCTCCTCTGCATTGGGCAGTCCCCAGAACCACCCTCTCTGATTAGTCCTTGCTTTCCAAACTCCCTGCTCCTGATTGGGCAACTCCTCGTACATGCCTTTTTCTGGTTGGATTGTTTGCAATCATGAGCCTGGAAGCTGACAGAAGTTCAACTACGTGGGAAGGACGAGAGGGAGAGGGGAGAGGGAGGAGGAGGAAGGGATGAGTCCCTAAATCCCCGGCTAGGGAGAGGGAGTGGCCCTTGACCACCAGATAGCCTTGAGTTAAAGTTCTAACTGTGCAAACCACTAGCTGTGGGGCTTCAGGCAACTATTTTTGGCTTCTGTGCCTCAGTTTATTCATCTGTAAGCTGGGGATAATAATGATACCGTCCTCATGGGGTACTGTAAGGATTGAATGAGTTAACACCTGTAAGTGCTTATAGAAGTACTTGGCACAAAGGAAGCCCTCAATCAGGGAGTTAACTATTATTATTAATTTGATCATGTAAGTGCATGACCTTGGACAAGTCCTTCTGCCTCTCTGACCTCTGCAGCCGGCCGTTGCTTGACCTCTTAATTGAACGACCTCTCCTATCCCCAGCCCTCTTCTTCCATCTCTAGCCATCAGAGACTGAGGCTGTGATCACAAGGAGCAGTAGAGATATGCCTGGCAGAGATGGGCTGGGGAGGGCACTAGGATGGTGTCAGAAGAGAAGCTCAAATCCCGCCCCCCCCAAATACGGGGGGGGGGGGAGTGTGTGTGCGTGGATTTCTCTATGCAAAGGGCTTGCCCGACAGGGGACAAGGAGCAAGGGATGGGCAGAGGCGGGTGGTGAGGGGATGGTGTGTTCTGGCCGGGAGGGCTGGGGAGGGGTTGGAGCTGGGCTTGTGGACCCTCCCCCAGGAATGACAGGGCTGGGGGAGGGACATCCCAGGCACAAGGTCATTGTGTCATTGTTACCAGGGCAACGAACACCTCTCTACAGGGAACCTGAAAAGGGGTAGGAGGGAGGGAGCTCCCAGGTCCCTGGATCTGGGGACGGAGAGAGGAACAGAGACCGGGAGGAGAAGTACAGAGAAAGAAAGAGTGATTTATCTCTGTGAAGACTTGCCCATCTCAAAATTCTCAGAGCCCGGTACACTGTGGGTGCTCAGTAAATGTCCCTCAGAGACAAAGACAGAGAGCCCAAGAGACTCAAAAGCCCAGAGATGCCAGAAGAAAGAAAGAATCTCCTGACTGGGGCGGGTAGGATGTCCCTTTCCTGACCTTCAACTTCATACCCCTCAGGGGTCCACTGAGAGCCCTGGATCCTCTCACCTTCCCCAGCCTTGGGTCCTCAGGCCTCCCTAACCCCACAAACCACCCACCCCAGCAACTCCCTGAAGCAATTATGTTTGATCCTTCAACAACTTTTCTGCCTTTAAATTCTTCCAGCCTGGGAGCTCACTGAGAAAAGTAGCATTCAGAGCCAGCTAATGCCTGCTCCTCCTAGAGCTGGGGTGGGAAGTGGGGAGGAGGGGAAACAGGCACTCTGCCTCCTTCACTCTCAGGAACCCAGGTGTCCTCATTCCCCTAGGAGTGGCCGCCTGCTGGATTCGGATATTTTCCAATTCCTCCCGGAACCACCACCCCCGCCCCCCGCCAACTCCTCCCCAGGAAACCCTACAGGTCCCTCCCTTTCTTTCCGAGAAACAGGTACCCCCCCCTTTCCTCCTGGGACTCAGCGGGCATCCACTTGGTCTGCCTGCCCTCTGCTGGCCTAAGGCCGGTACTGCAGGGAACCTCGGCTAGCGCTCACAAGGAGAAACAGAAACAGAACTGAGGATCTCTGAGTTCCTGCATTTTAATTTCCGTCGGGTCTCAGACGTTCAGGCCCTAGGGGTCCCAGTTCCCAGTTTCTTCAGGGACTCCGACATCAGGAATCCAGTTCTCCAGCCCAGAGGTCAACGAAAGAAAGACAACTTCTCCTGGAGCCAGGCCTCGGTGAGGTCATCAGTGGTGCGGATTTCAAACACCTGGGCAGGGAGAGGTCTCCGCATTAAGACCCACTCAGGAACCGAGGGGGTGAACACTCTGACCCCCTCCGCCCCTCAGAACAGGAGCCTCGACCCTCAGCCCATCCTCCTTAGCCCTGGGGAGCCTCAGCCCCAGGCCCAGACCTTTGTGAGTTCTG